ACTAACATCCACTACAAGAAACTAAACATCAACATTTTAAGACTATCTAACTAACCTATTGATTTGATTGCCTTTAATTTATTTACAAAAATTTATTAAAAACTTACTCAAAGATGAATAGTATCATCGTTATTCACACCTTACTATTAAAAGAAATAAGACAGTTAACACATTTGTCTTGAATGAAAAAAAAGGCGGGAAAAAAATAATAAATTATCCCTTCTCTCCTTTCTTCAAAAAAAAAAAACAACAACACAATATCAATTAAAACAAAAGCATTTTATTTAATGTTCACTTATTTTTTATTTGTACATTTCGAATTTAATTAATTAAAAATTAAATGATGATAGCAAGCATACAGTTTTCATGTTGAATTTTTATATACTGTACAAGATATATTCGAAATAAAAAAAGACATCAACAAGGTAGGATAGTTAAGGTGTATAAGTTAAAAGAAAAAATTTAAAAGGATGACTTTGTTCATTGTAGGAATAAAAAAAATATCAACTATTTCTTGCTATATGTCTATTCATTTTTATCAGTTTGTATTCTTTCTCTCAAGTGATAATTAATGGGATTGTTTTACTTAAGAAAAAAACAAACACACATGCACACACAAAACAACACCGGAACGATAATTAATCTCACTAAATGATGTCATTACCACCCAGTGGTGATAGCATAGTGTCGGTAATTCACCATACCAAGAGAACACACAAACTTTCTTCTACTTTTCTTATACATATTCAAAAAATATAACATGGAAGTTTAAATAACATTAAAAAAAATTCGCAAAAAGTTTATCAACATAAAAGAAAAATAAATGAGTGAATTGAAATAAGCAACAATTATCATCCAGTAAACAAAACGTCTACTAATCTGTGTTTAGACAAACACATGGGCATACACGAATTGCATAACCATGCTGAAAATGATTATTTATAAGACTGATTAAAAACAAGAAATAGTTAGTAATAGTTAGGTATACAATACAATTTAGTCTAGTATAGATTTTGTTGATCAGCACAACTGTTTAAATTGACATCTTTATTTTTGCCTTTTCTGATATCAGCATAATTTTGGAGAGAGAAGATACATTCATCGTAACATTGAAAATAAACATGTGAAAAAAAGATCATTTCTTTCGACAACCTAGATTTTTAATAGCAATTCAAAATTTGTATTAGATATTTTTGCTGGTATATTACGGGAAAATTTGTTTCTGAAATTTCAAATTATTTTCCACAAACATAATCTTGACAAACAAAATACGAAACTATCCATGTTAGTAGTTGTGTAACTGATAGACAAAGGATAGATTTTAAGAAGTTTAAATTTCAGTTATACTAAGTGATGCAGAATAATGATGCAACCGAAAAATATGTCTGAATTAAAATTGACTGAGAGGTGGTTAAATACCTAAACCGTTATTTGCAAGTTAAATTTGATCTCGAAAACACACCTACGGAATGTTTTTATTTCCCTGTATGTAGAGACAATGATAAGCACTAACAACTGAGTGATATGATCAGTTAACTTTTTTTCAGTAAAGCCTCCATAATTTCATAGGAAAGCATATATCACTAGAATATATGTCAACCGAAGATTCTTGTTGTATTCAAATTTTTAAAAAAATAAATATTTTCGAGCCCAAACTAAGAATTTTCTTCATGACTCGACATGACAAACAGAAATAATACTATAATATAACTTAGGTTAACTGAAGACCGAATTAACACTTAGTCATTCTTGTTCAGTCAAAACTAAATTATACATGTCATTGTTGATTTTCAAACTTAATTCTGTCATATTTCTGATGTATCTGTATTTTGAAATGTTGTCAGCATATTTTTGAAGGTCAAATGATTCCATGCTACACGGAAAGAAAATCAATAGTTCTATTCGTTTTTTTTAATATTTTTCATGAAAGTACTTACAGTCATACTGTAACTATTTTCGAGGTGCTTCATAATGTATTAAGAAATCGTAGAGGAAATTATATTGAATTTTTTCTACTTTCTGAAGTCATTTATTTTAGAAAGATAAATCAGGATTAACAGTGGAGACTACGAAGCACGTTTAGTCTGATTAAAAATTCATCAGCTGAATATGCCTGCGTTCCAACCAGGCTCACTTCTGAACTTGAATCCAGAACCTTTGGATTTAAACATCCAGAAGATTATTCATTGAGCTTCTGAGTTAAGAAAGCCACTAACTTACTCATAAGCTATAATGTTTATATTGTGATTGATAAGATGTAAATCAATCTGTTTATTAGACTGTTAATCACTTGCATGCATTGATTCATTTCACTTGATGTTAAAACTTGAAGACTTCTGTAACTGTAGTGTACTCACAAATTCAACGAGGATACTGGTTGATGGTTGAATTTTATTACTCTATAAAAAGAGCAATTCAGTGTTACTGACTGAAGGTTAAAATCTAGAATTTAGAATTAATATAGTTTTGTGTTTGTGACTTTGACTTGTCTCAGTTGGGATAAAATTGAAGCCAATAAGTACAATGAAGTACAATCCATCACCTTATCAGGGAATAAGTCAGGAACCTTTAGGTTTCACAATGAATGAATAGTTGGCTTTTAATGTCGTACCATTAATATTTCAAAAACTTATTTATAAAGGAAATAAAATCTCATCATATAATTAATAAGTTTTCATTGAGTTTTACTTAATTTAATAAAATAAATATTTAATATTAAAATATTGTACAAATAAAAGATGCTTATGATAGTTTACTTTCTTCATTAATACAAATTTGAAGTCAAAAATTATACTATTAGTTACTATTTCATTATAAATATCACTTAGAGCTCATAATAACTATAATAATAATAATAATAATAATAATAATAATAAGCAGAACTAATCATTGATTACTTTTGTTTGAAAGATTCATATGATTTATTTTATTTTAAAAATATGGAACGTTTGTTTATGTACATGGGATAACCTATTGTATTTTCTATTATTATTATTGTTGTTGTTTGATGTGCCCGCATCCGGACAAATGAACGAGAATAAATTATGATTACATAATGTAGATTTGATAAGTCCTGTTGTAGAACGCTATCTCACACGTATACTTATTAATATACATATATATATATATATATATATATATATATATATATATATATATATATATATGAGAAACTAATTGATAGAGGCGAAATTAATAATAATAATAATAATCGTTCAAAAAATTTAGTTAAAAGGTAGAAACGAAAGACACATAGAGACCAAGGGAGAGTGAGTGAGGAGGGATAAGATAGAAATGAAGTAAATTACCCTGTTCTTTTTCAGCTTCAATGATTCAATTAGTCAAATAAATAGAGAAGAGTTTGTTCTCAGCTTTAACGTTTTGAGAGTTTTTTTTTTGGATAATGTTTTCTCTGTTATTTGCCCCATTTCACTTTACTTATTGTTCTGTTTTACCCTTATTGTTTACGTCATATTTAAGAAAATATGAAGAGCAATGAAACAAGTAGACTGATTGACATTTTAACAATTATGTATATATATATATATATATATATATATATATATATATATATATATATTAATGAATTGAAACTGATAGACAGACGTTAGTTTTTTTGTGCAGACAAATATCATAACAAAAGCGAAATCGAGAATGCCTACCCTTTTCTTCATTTCAATTATGTCAAGTAACCTAACTTAGCAATAGCTATTTTCTTTTATGGAACTCGATCGATGAGCATATAATTAGATTTAAAAAGTCTTGATTGAAAAATAAGTCATTGCATGACAGAAATTGAATGCTCAATATGAAATGCTTGAACGTGAAGAATTATCGATTGATTTTGTGATTGGACTGGCTACTAATCAACCTGTGTAACTGTAAAATGATTGAAAAAATACACTGTTCATTGTTCTCTTGGTTTAGAATGTGAAAACATTGACAATAATCATTCAGTTAATTCTTTTTACATAAATAAACTCTATTAAATGAATTATTATTTTAAAAACACCAATAAATTGACTTAAATGAGGAATAGATGGAATAAGACGTAGTGAAATATAGGACGCATATTTCATTAGAGTAGGAACTTATCTAATGGATGTAATTGTATTCTGGAGTTGATGTTTATTCAGCAACTGGAACTTGTTTGCTACAAATATTATCACATCCAACGGTGTTAATGTCTCATGTCTAAACCGTCAGATACCGGTCCAGTCGTTCGATGGTTAGGCGTTCGCGCACAATAACGAAGGTCCCGGGTTCGAATCCTGTGGGGTGCAAGAGTCGTTGATGCTCACTGCTGATGAGTCCCATACCAGGACGAAATGGCCGTTCAGTGCTTCCAGGTTTCTAATGGTGGTCTAACAGTGATTGATGGGTTGATGATTTCAAATGTGTAAAAACACAAATCTCCAAAGCTCTAACTGAAAATTTTAATTTGAAGTTTCTTATCTTACCTGCTAAAGCATTAGCGTATAAATTCATTGGAAACCATGTTAACATCCTACACTACTTCATATATCATCAATTAAATCTAGAAATGTGAAGACATTGTTTTTTTTGTTTCTAATAAGAATATTACCGTTGAAAATGTTTGATCCTGTATTATTAGGTGGTATTTTCTTATTACTTACAAATATCGTATATATATAGTAGTCATTGAAAAACTTACACAAACTGATAGAATAATAGTACTGATTACGTCATAGAGTTTCTTGTATACTATGTTTGTACATTCTTTGCATTCATTTTGACTGACGCTGATTTTTTGTTTTTGATTTATGGCCAAAGGAAGAAGACAAAATTGATGTTAGATGAAACATTTTAGTTATTTTTCAAAAAATAACACTGATCTCTTTTATCCCTCCCTTTGTAACATGAAGTAAACTTACAGATTACTGAGAAAAAAAATTTTACTACTACTACTACTACTACTGTTATTAATATGATTATACTTAATCTCTATTTTTATTTGTTTTGAAAACAATCTATTTTAGTACTTTCCTATATCGTTGTGCTGGATGTTATCGATCAATTGATAAAATGGATTTGGTATTTCGTATACGATCACGTACATTTCATTTAGATTGTTTTCGTTGTGTTATTTGTGAGAAATTACTACAGCCTGGTGAAGAAATTGCCTATAGAAATGAACAAGTTTATTGTTTAATACATTCACATCTTATAGAGAAATTTCCAAAAATTACTCATCCTTCGCATAATCATGAAAATGACAATAATAATAATAATAACAATAATAATAATACGCTTCATATTGACAATAATACTGATATGGAAACATTACAGTTCATATCAGGTAATCATTTAATTAACAATGCGAACAACGGTAACAATACTAACAACGATGGCAATCCTGTTCGAGTCAATAATATTGATCTTCATGATACAAATCAACCAATGATTGAACAAGTAGAAATTAATATTATTCCAGGCACAAATCTTGTCACCAATACTACATGTTATAAAACTAATAGTAACATAAATATGAATCCATCTAAATTTACAAATCATTGTCATGAATCATTGATTACAGATGATATGAGAAGTTTAAAATCTGATATAAAAGGTCTATTGCCAAATTTATTATCACATCAAACAGATGATATACAACAATTGATGACAATGAAATCAATTTATTGTAATAATAATAATACTACTAATACTACTAATAATAATAATATTGTGACCAGTATGGACTTGACACCTGATATGGAAGATGGTGTTATCTATGAGAATTTATGTAATTCCACATCGACAACCATATCAATGCCAACAGTACATACTAATGTTACTTTTACCAATATGCATAATCATATTAGCAATAATAGTAATAATGGTAATAATTATATGAACAAACTGATTAATAATCAAAATTCCATATGTAATTCTAGTTTTAACAATCCATTAAATGAAAATACATGTCCTAACTCACCAGACAGTTCATTCGGTGCAATTATTCAAGATATAGGTAAGTGAAAGAAAAATTAAAAACGAAACTTAAAAAGTAATGCAATTATTTTACAGAAAATAATTTCATACATTTATATTAAAGATATATTAGTTAGAGAACCAGTGAGAATTAAGATACACTCAACAGTATTGACATCCTAGCACAGAATTCTTAAACGATAAAAATCTTCTAGTTTATCACGAGTCATAGTTAGAACTTCCAGTCTATTGTATTAGCATCTAACTACAGTTAGTCTATAACATAAAAATGATAATAATAATCAATAATCTCTACAACTCTCTTATGGTAGGAAATCACTGATTTATTTTGTGATCTACCATAATTTTTCTAAAATATAATTCTGTGATAGTTTTTGACTAACTAACTAACTAATTTAGAATAAGCAATGTCAAAGAGTGGTTTAATTGACTAAAGATTTTAACTCCTGTATATTGTTAATTTTAGTGCATTTGTTGAAGAATGAACAGAAGTATAGTAATGTCAAAGATGTCAGATGAAAGTGGACAGTCTTCATTCTAAGCTAGACTAAGGACACTTCAACTGTAACTTGATTGCGTTTAATAGATTTTCTGTTTTGATTGAGGATTTAACACCTAAGTTAGATTTCTAGTAAACATTTCTAAAGTATTTTGAAACCATGAATCGATCATTGTTAGACCGGCGTTAGAAAACTGGGAGCACTGGACGGCCGTTTCGTCCTGGTATGGGACTCCTCAGCAGTGCGCATCCAAGACTCCTGTACCCCGCAGGATTCCAACCCGGGGCCTTCGGTATTGTGCGCGAACGCCTAACCATTGGACCACTGAGCCGGTATCTAACGGTGTTAATTTCTAGCTTGATCAATTCACGGAGATGCGCAACCTAATACATAGTGTTCGGTAGTTACTGTCTACATCCAAACAGGTTGAACTTCACTAATCACAATTTCCCAGTAGACCTCGAAGAAGATTCCTCACGAAGCTAATCACTAGTGAGCACAGGTAATTTACATTACGGGGTTGTGAAGATTGTTGAATTACACATTTTGAAACTATGAATCGATCAATGTTAGACTACCATTAGAAACCTGGAAGCAACAACTGCCGATGAGTCGCATACTAAGACGAAACGGCCGTCCAATGCTTCCAGGTTTCTAATAAGGGTCTAACATTGATCGATTTTATGGTTTCAAAATGTGTAACTTAACAATCTTCACAACCTCGTAATCTCTGAAATAATTGGAACTTTATTTGAATTAACTATATACAATGTATATATTTTCTTTTAATTTACTCAAACTTCTTAAGATTATGTAGATTATTTAATTTTACGACTAATATTCAATTGAAATAGCTTTTTTTCAGTTAATCATCTTTCAATATATTGTTTTAATAAGTAAAATGATTTCTATGAAAATTTCATTAGCGGAAAAATTAAATGCATATTCAAACACCTAAAACACAAGATACAATAGAAACTAATAATAATAATAATAATAATAGCAATAAATCAGCAATAAAAGAAATGGAATTCCTTAAACGAAAATTCCTTTGTCTTATTTCATGATGACTTCATCTTAACAGCTCTCTCTGTCTCTCTCTATGCTCCCACATACAAATCCATTGTATCTGGTGTAAAGTGAGATAATGATAGGGGAAAAAAACAGAATTACCGAGACACTAAATATATATGTGTATATCGCCTGTTTTCTATTGTCAAACTATGCATTAGGTCAGCTCTTTTTTTAAACTACTGTTTACCATACATTAAGTATAGTTATTACGATATTTTTTGTTTGAAAAAAAAGACGAAAATAATATTAGGTCACCTAAGACATTGAGTGAAATTAGTATATTTTATATTTAGTAACAGTATTATTATTATTATTAATGTTATTAATATTACTATTATTATTAATACCGTAAGTGTTTAGTTGTCAGTCAACTAACTAACTAGTCAGACTCTACTAATAAGATAATGTGTATACATTAAAATGTCTTTGTATAGTGTCTGTGTTTCGTTTCAAGACAATGATAATTTTGTTATATAATATCAACTGTTGTATCATTAAAATCTTTGCTAATTTAATGTAGTTAACAATTATTCACCAGCAAAAATACCGTTGATTGCATTTTTGTGTGTGTCATACATGTGTTGTTGTTTTATTTTTTTTAATACAACAGTAGGAAAACATTAATAGGCAAATGCTTATGGAATGATAGTTACTAAGTAAACAATTAGCTAACTGATCTATTTAATGCATACACAAGGCGCATATAGTGAGTGTATATAATAAATAATACTCAGTAATTATTGGAATGAAATGCACAAAAGGAAACAAAACAAAGAAATGTCATACTGCATTATTTAAAATTTATTTTTTACAGAGATGATTGTTGAAATGTATGATTATTATTACCCTTGTTTTATATTTTTTTTAAAAGAGGAAGCATTATGTCGTCAACACAGAGTTTTACAATTTACAGTAATAGTCTTGAAAGGTTGAATAATGCTTTTATGGTTGTGTTATTTTCTTCACAGAATTGACTAATAATGACATAATCAGACACATTAGAAGAGTGAATATGGTAAGAGGTCAACTGGTAATTTGTATAAAATTGCTTAAGTATGAATCATTCAACATCTGATCAAGTCTATATAAATAGGAAATCTGCATCAGTTTACTATCTACAATAGTGAGAACTGTATTAAATCTGACAATTTTTACTGTGAATAATCATATTTATAAAGATTCGAGTATAAATGGTAAAACGGCTTGTTTTATCTAGTAAACGACTTTCCAATGCAAACAAATTGTGAAAAAAACTAATGAAAATTTGAAAACAGCTCTATTCGTTAAAACGAAAAGATTATAACTCGATAGAATTTCAATAGGTAGAGGTCATCATTACAAAATGTTCAATTTCATAACAGTTGATTATGGTGGAGTTTCATTCTTTAAGCTGGATGTTTTGACTGTTTAATAATGACTGAGTTTCCCCGGGAAGGCAGGTTTCCGCTCGAGAACAACTCTACTTTCTCAATCTAGATCATAATCATCCATCTGAGCTATACATTTTCTTCACTATCTCGATAACATCTGATCTCGTAAATTATTTGATTGCATATTCATAAATTAAAAGTAATTTACTAGATTGAGACATTTATTATCCAAATAAAAATACATGTATAGTATTCGACTTGTTTTGCAATCACTTATTTTTGTTAATTGAATCTATTCATCAAGTCATTTCATTATTCGAGTAAATTTAATTACTGTATGAACCTCATTTTCGGAAAATCATTCCTAACTACCGTCATAGTTGTTATGGATAAGCGACAATAATGTGAACAGCTACACAGTATGATAAAATGTAAGTAGTTTTTAAAAGATAAAAAAGAAAACAACACCGAAATCAAGAAACTACTGTAAATTTCTTTTCATATTATCTGGAAAAAGAATTTGCTCTTTCTTCGTGTTATTTCACTTTTTCTTTCTATAATTCAATGAAAAAATTGCTTTAATTATTAAAAAAAATGTTAAGGAAATAATGTACAATGAATTCTGTTGAAGATAAATTTCTGATCTTAATCTGATATTAGTCATGGAATCATTAAACATTGAAGAGAATTTAGATTCATATTATAATTTAAAAACGGAATCGATCTTAAAGTCAGGAGATAAGTAGAATGTCATCTAACCATTGAGTTTGTCATTGTTTCTGAGATCAATTAATCTGTGATACATGTAGTAAGCTGTTGCTTCACTTTTGGTTCCGATGAATGCATAGATTACAATATTTTAGTAGATAAATATGAACAAAATAATGACTTCAAATATGACAGCCATCAAAAATTAGGAGTCCCTGGATAGGGTCATGAATACACATACTAGGATGAAGAGGCTTTCAAGTTCTTCTGGGCTTTTAACTTAGTCTTTTAACAAAGATCTGTTGATAGTCTACAACAGGAGAATTTGTTAACCATGTAATGACTGCCGACAATTTTACGTCATCATTAAAAGTAATTGTAGAATAAAATGCGAAATATTTAGTGATAGAGGCTATTCTTTTCTCATTATTATTACTAACTTAAATTACTTACTTACTTACTTACTTTCACCTGTTACCCCCATGGAGCATAGGCCGCCCACCAGTTTTCTCCAACCAACTCTGTCCTGGGCTTCCCTTTGCGGTTTTCGTTCATTCTTCTCATGTTTTTCTCTATTTCTCGGCGTAATGTGTTCCTTGGCCTTCCTCTTTTCCTTTTGCCCTGAGGGTTCCAAGAGAAGGCTTGTCTTGTGACGCAGTTGGTTGCTTTTCGCAGTGTGTGTCCTATCCACTTCCACCACTTCTTCCTGATTTCCAACTCGACTGGAATCTGGTTTGTTCTCTCCCACAGTAGTTTGAACTTAAATTACTATTCAAATTAAAATTTACAGTATTTAAATGGTTTTTTGTTAGAACTTAAAGAGTGATTTCAAAGTAATAATAATCATAATATCAGTAACTGAATAAACGCTATGCCTGACTGAGATCGACACTACTTCTATAGCCTTACGGTTTCTTTTTAGTTATCAAGGTCACAGTTATTTATTACTTAATTAAAACTAAGCATCCGACATAAGTATGTTAGTTTACTAGTTATTTACTCAAGAGTTGAAGCCTATTTTCCAACTGTGAGGTGTTTAACTAAGTTATAATCCGTAATTATCAAGTGAATTTATCCGTCTACTGAACATACACTACTGATAACCTCTATACTAAACAAGCAGGAATACATCTTGATAATACTACTTAAAAACTTGTAAATGGGTTGGAAAATCGATGAATTGGTATGATTAGTGATCAGTTTAACTTATGAGTTGTAAAGTAACGATTGATATTTGTAAATTCAATTCACTCAAAATCTAGTACAATGATCATATAATGCCATCAATGATGGATATTTTTCACTCTCGTCACGAATTGACCCTCCAAACTGTTATATGTTCCTATTAGTATTTCCAGAAACTTTAA